CATTGCTCTTTTACGCTTCAGAGAAGCAAGAGCATCTGGACTGAACTGCCTGCCTGTGGCCCTGCCTGTACTGCAGTCTTCTTTACACTTACCTACTGCTGTTGAACTCTCTGTCTCTTTTGCAGTTTTATTTTCTGTTCTGTGCTTTGCCCCTCCAAGCCTTTGCCCAGAACCTTTCTGCATTGCCTTCTTTGCCTGTAAGTGCAAAGGGGCTGATGTCTGAGTTTTAAACCTATGGCAAAGCCAAAGAGAGACTCATCTCTCACAGGTCTGGCTGTGCCAAAGGATGGCATGGCCCCCACCATGGTGCTTGCTGCTGAAAACTGACAAAAGAGCTCCTTCTGAGTCTGCTGTCAAGGCAGCCTTATAACCCTTGTCCTCCAGTCTCCCAGCTGACAGTGATCCCCTTGGTACCCAAGGCAGGGACTTCTCCTCTTTTGGCAAACCGTTGCTTGTCCTCCGGATGGGGAAAGCACATCAGCTGCAGCAGCACTCATTCCCACTGGCTTTGCAGGGGACAGTCTCGAGCAAGGACTGATGTTTCCCCCTCAGCAACTAATATGTCTTCCCTTGGAATGATCGTGCTCTCCTAGAGTTGAAGCAGCAAGCTCTTCCTCTTGCCACCACTCACTGCTCCTTTGAGATCTGTGAATCTTCAGGAGCAGTTTCCTTTGGCATGTGATGCAATCAGATCAGGCTAACTTTTGGCTTCCCGTTTCTTTTTTCTCTCCCAGTGCCTGCAAGGCCTGGCCTTCCTTCATGCCAACGACGTGATCCACAGAGACATCAAAAGTGACAATATACTTCTGGGCCTGGATGGCTCTGTCAAGTTGGGTGGGTATTCTTGGTCAGGTGCAGCGCTGCGGGGAGGTGGTGTGGGGCTGCTTTTGAGTGGCTGCCAGCTGCTGCTGAGAGTGCACGCAGCACTCCTGCAAGCTCAGGGCACTGCTGCAAGGTGCTAAGAGGTGTAGAGAGCAACAAGGTGTCAAGGTTGGCTTGTACGTGCTCACTCCAGAGGGAGAGAAGTTCAGTCTAAAGCTTCAGGTGAATGAGGAAAAGCCACGGTGTGAATGGTTTGGGTTTGCTAAGTGGACAATTCCCCATATGCATGGCTGCAGCCCTGAGGCTGCACAAGAGCACAGCTCCTTTTCCACCTTGATTCAGCATTGCATTCTGAGACTTAGACTGAGGAACATTTTCCCTTGGTTTCCTCCTTGAAGCAGTGTTTGTTTGTCTCCTCAGCTGATTTTGGCCTCTGTGCTGTGCTCAGCCCTGAGCAGAGTAAACCGAGGTGTATGGCCGGGACCACTCGCTGGATGGCACCCGAGGTTGTCAGGAGAGAGCCATACGGCCCCAAAGTGGACATCTGGTCCCTTGGGATTGTGGGAATAGAAATGGCCATAGGAGAGGCTCCGTATACTTGGAAAACCAGTGCTAAGGTAAGGTGCAAATAAGCCCACATGCCAGTGGCCTTCTGCTCTGTCTCCATTAGACACAATCCCATTCCCACGGCTTGGACAGCTTCCAAGAAGGCCCACTTCTAAAATGTCCCTGGGGCCCACGTAAACTGTCAAGGCAAGAGCTGCTGGATGTTGGAATAGCTGAGGCAGCCCTGGGGCCTTTTTCTTTTGGGAGAGAAGGCTCATCTCTCACCATTTGCTAGGCAAGAAATTGCCACTGCAGACTGGGCCTTCAAATATGGGGTCTAGGTGGGTACTTAAGGATATGAAAGAATCACGTAGAGTCTGTTTCCTTCTTCCTCAGGCTAAGTATCTGATAGGCACACAAGGAGTTCCAGATCTGGACAAGCTAAGCCTACATCCCAGCTTGTGTGAATTTCTGGAACGTTGCCTGCAGATGGATGTGGACAAGAGAGGCTCTGCCAAGGAACTTCTGGAGGTACAGTGCAGAGTGGCTGCAGGCCAAAGAGTGTTCCCTGTCAGGGTTTGCTCCTGGGCCGAGCTCCAGGGCATCAGATGGGCCCTCCCATCTTAATCTCCAGTCTGGTTGCTTTTCACATGAAAACCAAGTAGGATCCAAGACTACTTCAGGTTAGAAGGGACTGCTGAAGGTCATCTAGTCCAAGGCCCCTGCCACTGGCAAGGATATCTTCAAGTAGATCAAGTTGCTCAGAGCCCCAGCCCCAGCCAAGCTGACCTTGAATGTTGCCAGCGTTGGGGCACCTGCCAGCTCTCTGGGCAACCTGTGCCAGTGTTTCAGCACTCTCCTGCTAAAGACTTTCTTCCTTAGAGCCAATCTGAATCAACTCTCTTAGTTTAAAACCATTTCCCCTTGTCTCTTGCAATTGGCCCTGCTAATAGATGTGTCCTCATCTTCTTTAGAAGCCCCTTCAAATATTGAAAGGTCTCCTTGCAGATTGCCCTTCTCCAGGCTAAACAAGCCCAATTCTCACAGCCGTTGCTCAGAGGAGAACTCTCAACTTCTCGTCATTTCTGAGGCCCTCTTTTGCTCTCGGGTGCTGTTTTCAGGTTTACCTGCTAGCCAAGGAACTGAAGTATCGCAGTGCTGGGGACAGAGGCCCGCAGTGGGGTTTGGAGATCCCAATGAAAGCAGTCCCTGCCAAGCGCTTCTAGGCTGATCTGTGGGAAGGCAGGGGCTGTGGGGGCTGAGGGTGAGCCTCACAGGGGACCCAGCTTGTCCCTCCTGGCCCACTCTTAGGGGTTTCTGCCAGCCAAACGGGGACAGCTGAGCAGCATTTGTGCCAGCCCCATGTGCTGCCTGGCCCGGTCACGTAGATGAGAAGCGCTGCGGCTTTGCTGCCAGGTTTTGTGGCAGATGGGGAGCTGCTGAGCGGGCCACTTCCTCGGCTGTCCCTGCTATGGAGCACTGCAAGCCAGAATTGAGTCCATCTGTGCTCTGCCACTTGTATCTGTGTGTTTCTGGACACTAGAGGAAACCAGCTTGACCCTGTTATAAATGAAAATGCTAGACTTGCCAGTACATCAGGCAATATAGCCAATTTATTAATTGGTTTGATAAAAGCTGAGCAAGTTTTTACGATGCGCTGGGTGCGTTGAGTTCCTCTACCCTAAGCAATGCACAAATTCAGGTCTTCAAAGCTTGTCTCTTATGCCTTTCTAGGCACTTCACTTCCTCAAATCCTTACTTATTTTCTACTTGTTTTTCCCTCCTAATCAGTGGTTGTGGTTCTTGAACATCTGTTGGGGAGCTGGTCTGAGACGGTCTTCTGCTGTCTCCGTAGTCTCTCATCTTTCTCTTAAAATATTGTTTTCTATTAGCAGTTTGTTTAACTAAGCGTATATTTTGTTAGTCAGCATATAGTTTGCAAGCTTTCTTTCAATCATTTTCCAACTTAAAGCTAACTTCTCTAAAAATAGCTTCATAGGCTCTTTCTTTAGTTATTACAAAACTCAAAATATTTCAAGGCATGTTTCAAAATGCTTTTCTAGAGCTTTTTAGCTCCTGTTGGTCTTACTTCCCTTTTTTAAGTGATTACAAGTATTTCTTCAAACTAGTTTATACAAAGGATGCAAGGTAGTTTAAAGTTTAATATTTGGTTGTTAGAACAAGCTGTTATCTAAAAGCTGATTGTTATATAATTATTTTGTTCAACTTTACTTCCATGCTTTATTTTAGCTAATTTTCAAACCACTTCTTAGTAATAATCCCATGGTCTCTGTCTGTATTGCTCGCAGACACACAGACATGGGTGAGTGTCACCATTAGATTGACACAAATCTCCACTTAATTTCTCACAACCCTGTTAGAAGCTCAGTTGGGAAAACAATGGTTCCCCTTTCCTTTGCCTTTTTTCATTTGGTTTCTTTTGTTTCTTTTTCCCTCTGGGCAGCATCCATTTCTCAGATTAGCCGAGCCTCTCTCCAGCCTCTTCTGACAACCCCATGGCTGTCATCCCGGCAGCAAAGTAATGCAGGAAGCAGAGGGGATGACGAGGACCACCTGAGCACTTGGAGAACAGAGCCTCTGAGAGCAGGCAGAAATCCTGAGGAGCCAGGGGCCAGGAAACAGGCAGCCATCAGAGCAGGAAAGGAAGGTGGCATCTCCTTTTCTCCCATCTGCTGATCCTCCTTCTAAATTTCTGGTAAGGACACAGGTGCTGGAGAGCACAAAGTCACTATTAATGTGCCCTTTTCAGCTGGGGGGGCTGTTGCATGGGGCATGAAGCTTCCACTCTTTCTTTGGGGAGCTTGTCTGGGACTTCATCTGCAAGTGTCTTCCTCCCCTCACCAGGCCTGTGAGATGGAATGTCAGCATGTGGAGGTGCAGGAGCAGCCGCTGCTGCAAGGAGAAAACTTCCTGGCAGAGGTGGAGAGGGAGCAGGAGAGATGAAGCAGGAAGTTGACACCTTGCAAGCTGAACAAGAAGACGTATGAAGTAGGGCCAGTCAAGAGGCAAAAGGTATGAAAAGAGAGTTTGTGTGTTGCTTTGGACTCCTCTGGGCTCCTTCTGGGCACTGCTTCTCTGGACACTGTCTGTCTGTCTGTCTGTGATTGTCTCTTAGCTGGTCCTTGGTCAACAGTGCTGGAGAGACCTTTGTGCCATAAGGGTCGGGGCTTCTCAGGTGAGAGGCTGCCAGGGTGCAGATGTGAGGAAGGCACGAATGCTGTTGCTGGCCTGAAAAGAATGGGAAGGCCAGAGCTGTCTCTCAGAAGCAGGGAGGTCCCCCAGGAAGCCACCTGGCAGAGCCAGGCTGGAGCTGGGGGAGAGGGCTGGCTGTCAGGCTGCTAAGGAGGTGCCTGAAGCTGCTGAGTACGTCCTGTGCATTCTTTGTCAGATTGAGCAGTGTATTCTAGTGTATGTGCTTCAGCATGAGCTGCAATAGCACATGTTCCTCCTCACTTTAGTGTCACACAGACATTTTGCAACCCCTACTGAAGCCATTGTGGTGCTTGGAGGCAGCCAGGGAGCACTTTGGAGCATTCCTTTTGCCTTTGAGGGCAGCTGGGAGTCGGTGGGCTTTGCCTGAGCTTCCCTGTGCAGTAAAGACAAAAGTGGGGATTGTTTCCTGAGCAGCAGAAGGTTGTGACCTAGCAAATGGCCCAGTGAACGTGTGTGTGCTAGTCAGACAAAATTGCTCAGAACTGTGGGCTTCCTAGATTCCCCTTAAACTCATGACTTGTCACCAGTCATTGGAGACCAAATTCTTCAGAGAAATTACTTGGCTCTGTGGCTGCTTTCCTATTGGTGGTGTTTGTATCACTGGTATTATTTCCCCTCTTCTTTCTACAGGTCACATGGCCCCTGCCACAAAAATCTCCACTCCGAGTGCTTTTCAAATGAAAACGTAGGACACTTGCAGCAAAGCAATTGAGGAAGTTGAGGACATGACCAGGAGCACTTCAGGATTACTTTCTCCAATGCCAGCTAGCAGCAGACTCGCAATAAAAATCCTAGAAACCCCCAAGCCCCTTGCAAGATTCCTTTCCTTGTCTCCCACGCAATATAGCTCTACATTCACTTCTGAATTCTTTCTTAAATGTCCCTCCTGTGGGCGTTCTGGTATGGTTTGGAATTGGGAACAGTCTCCTTCCTTTATCAACTCCAGCCTACCCTGCCTTTGGATTATGGCCATTGGCCAGGTTTTGGCCAGCCGTGGACTTGTGGATGAGGCAGAAAGTGCAATTGCATTTCCAGCCAGAAAGCAATGAAGAGCAGGGCAGCCAAAACCTCCCAAACATTCCCCCCTTTTTTTTTAAATATAAAAGCAGTATCTGTCATCCTGTCTCCTGGCCCTTTGGAGACAGGGTGACAAACAGGGCACTTGGACCTTCCACCTAACCCTACAGGCCTAGTTCCTTTCAGCCAGTGATACCTCTTGTTGTATCCCTGGTGATGTGACAGTCATATCCAGGAGCTGTCAAATGGCATTTCCAGTGATCCAAACTCTCAGAGTAGCATGCTGCAGGCTTGCTAACTTCAAAGTTACAACTTTACAACTCCAAGAACAGGAAACAGTTTAACCTTAGAATCCTGGGAAACCTCAAGAAAGGAAAAAAAAACCGCTTGTCTAAGTCACTTTTTGACTCATCGACTAAATACTCAAGTCCTCACCTTAGAAAGTCTTTGTGGTCATAAACAGATAAAAATCCTCAAATAAACTTGTCATCTCTAAAGGTCCCAGATCACCATACATCAACTGCACGAGTCGTCACGGCTCCACAACTTCTGCTGGAGCTTGGTCAGGGAGATGTTGTCTCCTGGGCAGCATGTAGGTGCAGGGCAGACACCCCTGGCTACTCACCACCGTGGTCTGGTGTCCGGTGAAACACAGGGAATGCAATGGGTTCCCATGGGCCTTCCCACTTATTCGTATTCATGTCTTTGTTCATTACTTTAGGTGTGGGAGACAGGGCATCACCAGACAAATGTTGTGACCGGAAATGACTCAACATTACTGGGTTCTGGGATCGTTCCGCTGCTGTTAAGTGATTTAGGGTGTAAACAGCTTTTTCTACTCTACTCTGTGGTGTTGTGCTACACATTCCCCCGTTTTGTTTATCTAAGATGTGTTTTAAAGTGCCCTGTGCTTGTTCTACGATAGCCTGTCCAGTTAATAAATGGGGAATACCCGTTTGGTGTGACACACCCCATAGCTGTAGAAATTGTCTACTTTTTTGGGAGGTATAAGCAGGTCGGTTTTCTCTTTGGATGTTACGGGGGATGCCCAAAGCAGCAAAGGCTAATCAACAACGTGCGATGGCATCCCGACCTTTTTCTCCTGAGTGTACTGACGCCCAGATTGCCGATGAAAAGGAATCAATTGACACACGCTCCTATTGCAGTCTAAATTCAGGAATATGTATGACATCAGTCTGCCAGATTTGGAAAGCTTTGAAGCCACGGGGATTAAGTCCCCTTTGTGGTGGAGCAGTGTGGCTCTGGCAGTCAGGGCAGGTATTAACTATGTTACGAGCTTCTGTGTTCCGCAGCATAAATTGCCTCCGTGGAGCTGCAACACCTTGATGGAAGAAGGCGGCGTGTGTGAGGCTTTTGCTCGGGCAAGTGTGTCTGGTTGTGGTGCTGTGCCGGCGGGGCTAGCTAAGTGATCTGCTGGTGCGTTGCCCTCTGTAATAAAACCTGGAAGACTGGTGTGCCTTCTGATGTGAAGGATGTAGTAAAGACGATTTCTTGCTTGAATGCTACGCCGCAGGGTTTTGACTAGGCCAAATAATTGTGCATTGTCAATTTCCTTTAATAGAGCTGGATCTAATCTCTGTGTAATGGCTGCAACATTGGCAGAGTCAGTGACTGTGTTTAAAGGAGTATGGGGAAAACGCTGAAAAGCCACGGTTATGGCATGTAGCTCAGCTAACTGAGCTGACCCCTTTTCATGACCTAATGTTTGCCACTCCCTTTCTTCCTTCCACAAGGAACAATTGCTTTTCCTGGTTTTCCCAAACCGTCAGCAAACACAGTGAACACAGTAATACCTTTTAAGGGAGTTCTACTCTTCAGAAGTTTCAGGGATACTGCAGTGGTCTTAATTGCAGTGACGTATGACTCGGTAGATGGTAAGAGATTTGCCCTGAGAAATTTTGTAAGGCACTTGGCAAAGCAGTGCTCTTGGCCTAACACCATTCAAATTCTTCTTGTGTTATTGGAAAATGATTTTTGAAGGATCTTTTGCAGTCACTTGTAAGCACCTTTGATGACATCTCATGATTAGCTGGGCAATTAATTCAAAGATGCTAGGGGCTGTCTTTTTTGGTTGATGGGGTAAGAACATCCATTCTAAAACATGCAAAGGGGTCTGACAACTGAGTACCTCATTGTCCAATAATTGCAGCAGGATGGAATTCAGCAGTGCATATAAACACAGTGACACACACTTCTGGGAAAAGCCGGTGGACCTGTCTGTTTGTGAGGGTCTGCTCTCCTCTTTCAAGAATGGCTTTTTGCTTCCTGAGGGAAGTTAGATCAAGATCACCCTTTAGGAGGCAAAATAAGGGTACTAATTGTGGAGCGGTGGGTCCTAGATAGGTTCTGAGCCACTTGATAAGAAGTTTTGAGCATCCCCC